GAGGCAGAAGTTCTGGAATGAGAGTAATGTCATGTGCAGTGAGGCCAGTTTCCCACCTACCCTGGGCAGTGGATGCAAAGGCAAAAGGCAGGTTGAGCAGGACCCTGTACTAGGAGCCCAGGTGGTGTTGTGGGTTACATATTGGGCTGCTAAACTCATGGTCAGAGGTTTGAAACCACAAGGCCCACCAAGGGAGAAAGATGAAGCTGTCTGTTCCCATACAGACCAACAGTCTCAGAAACTCACAGGGGCAGCTCATCTCTGTCCTGCAGGGTCACTCTTAGTCAGAAGGGACTTGGTGGCCATGAGACAGCATGGCTGAGTGTGGTTGTAGAGTCAGGACCTAGGCCGGTGGCTGCTGACCAACGCTGGCTATACTAGACTGCTGCCTGGCTGTTGTAGCCCTCACGCTGAGCCCCTCCCTGCTTGCCACATTTCAGCTTTGATAGGGAATGTGTCTGCAATCCACCAGGACATCAAGCACTGTCTGAAATCACCAAACTTGCACATTATTTTCTTCTCTGTAATCTCTTTTTCTGCAACCCAGCCTGGTTTTCCTGCGTAGGGAAAAGCACTTGACGTTGTCATCGTCATCATCATCATTGTCTTAGCCACTCAACAGTTGGCTCCCAGCTCCCACTGCCTGCTGGCCCAAGGAACTTTTTATTTTGGGTGTCCCATTTGTCCATTGTGGCAGGATGGAGCTTGCTCACTAACAACAGGCCTCTTGTCCAGGCTCCTAGCCCCTACTGGTCCTTTGACTTAAGGGGCGATTTCACACCTCTTTTATGAGAGGTTTAAGGAGCCTTCGTGGTAGAGTGGTTATGCATTTGGTCTGCTAACCACAAGGTGTGCTGTGGGTCTACACTCGATGCAAGTAAGCTAGGTCTTCCTTCTTTTGAAATCTTCATGGGAGCAGACTGCCAGACCCAGCTGCATGGGTTCTGATGAAGGTTTGCACACACTCCCAGGGGCCTTGTGTACCCAGCTACCCACTGATACAGCACTTCTGTTGTGCACACCTCACTGTCAGGAGTACATGAATCATGCTACACCACCGTCACCAGTAGCCTCGACCTGATCGCCCACCAGCCTGACTTCTCGCAGCATACCTGGCTCTGGCTATTCTTACACCTCCTAGCAGTGGGGCCCTGCAGCCTGCTGACCCAGAGCGTGTGGGACCCAGTGGCTTGTCTTCTTCACTGCTCTGCTGAGCTGCGCGGTGACTGAACCACCGTCAGACCCCTGGCCATATTTGTCCTTTGAGCTGCCTCTACTGACCCTTGTCCTCAACTTGGGTTCCTGGGGTGGCTTCTGGCAAAGACAAGCTTCAGGGCGTGCTGTGCGGACCTGTTGGCACTCTCGAAGCAGAATCAAACATCTTCTTGATCTTAATTATTTGTGATTAGAAACAGGCTGCCCCTGCTCCATCTTAAAAGTAGAGAGGTGTGTATGGATTGTGATAAGAGTTCTATGAGCTCCTAATAAAACGATTTAAAAAAAGTAGAGAGGTGGGAGAGAGATAGAGTTAAGTAAGATAGATGATGGATAGATAGATATATTGGTGATAGCTAGCTGGAGAGGGGAGGGGGGAACAAGAGGAGGTGGAGAAGAGGAAGAAGAGAAAGGGAAAGGGGAGAAGAAAGATAGGAGAGAAGAGGGAGAAAGTGAGAGAAGGGGTAGGGGGAAGGGAGGAGAGGAGAGAGCAGAGAGCAAGAAGGGAGAGAAGGAGAGATGAAGAGAGGGTGGAGAGGAAGAGAGAGGAGAGGGGGAGAGAGAGAAGATGGAAAGGGAGAAGAGAGGAGAGGAAGAGGAAGAAGGAGAAAGGGGAGGAGAAAAGAGAAACAAATGAGCAGGAGCAGAAGCCTTCTCCTCCTCCTTCCCACGAGAGTTAGGTTCCAAATGATGGAACCTGCCTGTAAATTAAAGCCCCGTGCTCCTGCTGACAATTGGGGGAATAATAAATGTGTGGCTGCTATCCTCCAGTATTCTGTCTGTGAAAATTGGAAATCTCTTAAATAACAATGGAGAGCATGTAGGTGAGATGCCTGCCTCCCCTCTGCCTGCTCTGGTGGAGCAGCTGTGGTTACTAGGTTGAGCTCCTGGTTGCTAGGGCTCTCCATCCTGCAGCATCTCAGGGACAGGACGACCGGTGGAACATGCTCTCACTGTTAATGAAAGGCCCTCCCCGCAGATCTCTCATGTCACTGCATGCTCCAGCGTCCGGCCAACTGGGCGGTGGGTCTTGGGGCTTCCCTGAGTAGAAGAAGGAAGCGGATGGAGTGGACACAGGCACAGGACTGGACACTCACTTGGTGGGTGGCCTTGGACAAACAGTGCCCCTCTCTAGACTGCCTGCTTGTGCTGGTCGGAATGGAGGGCTCATCAAGCCTGCTGGTGTGTTGTTTGTCAGCTTCGAGTCCATTCTGACTCATGAGACCCCGTGTGTGGATAGATTAGATAGATAGATAGATAGATAGATAGATAGATAGATAGATAGATAGATAGATAGATAGATAATAGCTAGATGGAGAGGGGAGAGAGAGAGGGAGGAGGAGGAGGAGGAGAAGAGGAAGAAGGAAAAAGAGAAAGGGAGAGACGAGAGGAGAGCAGAGGGAGAATGGCCCTTGCTAGGCTGATGTCTTTTTAATTTTCCCACTTATTTTATTTTGCATGAAAACAGAGCACAGCATGCCCCCATTGAACAACTTCTACCTGGAGAGGTCCCCAGCACTGGTTACCATCCTCATTTGGGGTCAACAGTCTTGCCACTGCCAAATCCATTGTCATCTAGTTCGGTCTGACTCACAATGACCCTACAGGACAGAGGAGTGTCTGAGGCTGCCAGTCTTTCTGGGAGCAGATACCTCCTCTTTCTCTCTCAGAGAAACTGGTGGGTTTGAACCAATGACTTGGCAGTTAGCAAGCCAACACTTAGCCCAGGATGCCACCAGGGCTCCTTGCTCACCTTGCTCAAACTGCCATCAAGTCCACACCAGCTCATAGCAACCCAACAGGACAGAGTAGAACTGCCCCACTGGATTTCCAAGACTAACTCTTTATAGGAGTAGAAAGCCTCATTTTTCTCCCTCAGCGGGGCTGGTGGTTTTGAACTGCTGGCCTTTCAGCCAGCAGCCCAATATCTGACCACTGTGCCACCAGGACTCCTCTACTCAAGTTGTTCCTCCGCCTCACTTGGATTCACAGCGCCTCCAGTCATCTACTCTGGAAGGTAGATTTATTTACGGTGGCAATTTGTCTCCTCTGTGCCTTCTTTTAAGACTGTGTGGTACTCCAGGCCTAGGCTCCTACTAAAGACACCCATCCTGGCTGTCATCTTTACAGACATGGATGCCAGGCCGCTCTTTTGTGGGACCACTTGCTAGGGGATGTTCAAACTTCCACCCTCGACAAGGACATCTGAAGACAAAGCCTGCCAGCAGCCCTGGTTGCATAGTAAGTGAAGGATTGGGCTGCTAACTGTAACATTAGCATTTCAAAGCCACCAGCCACTGTGTGGGAGAAAAAGGAGGCTTTCCACTCCCTTCAAGAGTTCCAGTCTCAGAAACCCGTCCTATCAGAATCGGCTCCAAATTGAGTGGATGGCAGTGAGTTAAGCAAAGGTGCCCGCCACTTCTCTGGACACCAAACTTCACCAAACTCAAACACCTCTCAGCTATAACTGCCAGTAGTTCACCCCCGGCATCTCCCAGCAGGCTGAGCGTGCAGATCACTCCCTCATTAACTCCCGGTGGATTATTGACTAAAGAATTCCCATCCCTGGCTTGCTTCCTTTCTATCCAGCAGGCTTCTGGGCTGTGTTTCCTTGGCCAGATGGCATGCGCACAAGAGTTTCAGACTGGTTTTAATATTCAATCAACCATGATTAGGATCATAAATCAAACAAAGGGGGAAAAACCCCAGAAAACCCACACCCCATAATCATGTTGCTGTCTCCTCCTTAAAAAAACAAAACAACCTTTGACAAGTCTTTCTTGGCCTGCAGCAGGGATGGTAAACAGGTCACATTGCTAAGCCAGATTTGCCTGTGGCAGCTGCAAGGGGTGATGCCACTGGTATGCGGGATCAATTAGTGATCGATTAGAAATGTCAGGGATGGGAGGGGGCGTTTACTCTTTTGTCAGTCATGGTTGAGCTGAGGTTGCTGGGCAGGTCAAATGCTTTGCTCTTTGCTGCTCACCTAAAGTTCGGGCGCTTCCTTGCCACCCAGCTGCACCATGGAAGAAAGGTTTGGCAATCTACTTCTGTAAAGATGATGGCTGAGAAAACTTGACGGAGCCCAGCCCGACCCTGTAATACAGACTCACCATGAGGGAGGCCCGACCCACAGACAGCGGGCAAGCAAGTTGGAAGCGACTCCGTGACAACAGGGTGGGGATCTGGCCTGGGTTGAACATCCGCATCTTGTCTGAGAGGTTGCTGTGGGTCTCTGTCAGCTTTCCCTGCTGTCGCCCCTCCCCTGGCCTGCCCATTCGACCTCCCCAAAAGTCAGCATTCTGTTGAATGCCCATTGTGTGTAGAGACCCACTCTTTACTGGACCATTCGCTCTTGCCTCCCAAGTATCCTTAGCTTGTGGACTTGGTCAGCATCACCTCTAACAGCTGTGGTTCTGGGTGTGACATCGATCCATGGCACTGAGGACTTCCTCATTTTTGCTAACTCTAATTTCCCCAACATGTGGACATCTCTGCCTCCTAGCATCCCGCAGGTAGACTGGCTGTACCCCATCGCCGTGTTTGAGCTAAGGTGCTGGCACGGAATATTGAAAGTACCAGGGACGGCCAAAAGAGCTTGGAAGATGTACAGTCTTGGAAGACGTACAGTCAGAATGCTCCTTAGAAGCAAGGGTTCTAAGGGCCAGTCCTCATCTCCTGTACCCTGGACAGATTGGCAGGAGAGACCAGTCTGTAGAGAGGGCCATCAGGCTTGGTAAAGTGGCAGGGTGGCACCAAAGAGGAAGGCCCTTGAAGACGTGGACTGACCCAGTGGCGGTACCAATGGGCTCCAGCACAAGACCGAGTGGGAGGATGAGGCAGGGCAGGGTTTCATCCTGTGGCACATCCGGCTGCTATGAATCAGCACCCACTCGATAACCCCTAACAGCAATAACAACGCCATCTCTGTGGGGCATTCACTCTTTGGGGGGTAGGAGGAGGGATTCACTAAAGCACCCCTCCTGGAATCTCATGTTGTTGCTGCTGTTGAGTCGATTCCAACACACGGAGTAGAACTGTCCCTAGGGATGAAGGATGATCGCCAGGCTTTTCTCCCTCAAAACCACTGAGTGGGTTCGAACTGCCAACCTTCTGATTAACAGCTAAGAGTCCAACCATTGTGCCACCAGAGTTCCGTCTGGTGTCTTCGAGTTCTCTGCACATACCGGTCCCCTACCTCTGAGCCTGTTTCACACACTTGGTTGGTTTTATGTCTCTTTCCATTCCCACCCATGAAAACCCACTCCCAAACTCACTGCCACTGAGTCCGTTACAGCGCATAGCAACCCTCTAGGACAGGGTCGACCTGCCCCCGCGGGTTTAGAGACTATAATTCTTTATGGGAGGAGAAAGCCCCATCTTTCTCCTGCGGTGTGGCCGGTGGCTTTGAACTGTTGTTCTAGCAGTTACCAGGTCAATGCATAATCCATGATGCCACTAGGGCTCCGCCCACCGAGAGAGGTCAGTATCAAAGTCTTGGCTTCCTTCATCTTTGCGTCCCTGAACTAGAACCTGGCACAGAGCAACACCCCACAGAATCTGGGCTGGACACCTAAAAAAAATCATGCTGAATTATTCTGGTCAGGCCGAAATGGTTTGTATAAACTTTCCCAGCAGCCCAAGCTCAGTGTATGTCAACATTCTCTCAGCTTAATTGCTGCAATTTACGGAAGCCATAAAGTGTCCCTGTGTTCCGCAGAGACCAAGCTGGCGTCAAGTGGTGAACAGGCATTCTTTAACCATGCTGGCCTCTCTCCTGCTCCCGCTCTTTGCCCACAGCCTGAAGACAAGCAGAAAGAAGCACTTGCCTTTGCCCAGCTCCAGGGGGCCATGGAGACCCTGGGCATCTTGGAGCAGGAACAACAAGCCATCTGGAGGGTTCTGGCGGCCATATACCACCTAGGTGCCGCAGGTGCCTGCAAAGGTAGGCCTTTCTGACTCAGCTCACCTGGCTGCTTTGACAGGTGCCTGACAAGCCTTCTCTGCGTGTGTGTGTGTGTGTGTGTGTGTGTGTGTGTGTGTGTGTGTATTTGGGGGAACAGGGTCATTGTGTAATTTTTCCAGTCTCTGGGACAGACTGCCCTTTTAGAGGCTAAGGGACAAGGTCTTGCAAGAAGGACACAGGACAAGAGTCAATCACTCCAGGGCAGCCCTGCCCAAAAGCACTTCCCACAGAGACAGGCTGCTTGCTGGATGGGCAGGTCAGTGTGTCAGCCATTACCCCCAAAAGACCATTCAGCACACTCTATGTGGCCAGTATGAAGAATTAAAAAAAAAATTTGGTGAGAATTGTCCTTAGCCAAAAGCTCATCTTTTTACCCATTTCTGCAAGGACTTCTCTGTGGCATTAATAACCTTCTTCATGCTGTATGATCGATCCCTTTGTTCTCCTTTTCCAAACCAGTCCCCATCTGTGAATATAAGCCCCCTAAGTCTCCCATCGAACCTGATGAGTTGCCTTTGTCAAATTGATTCCACATCGATCAATCCAGGCTTGCTGGTCGGATAGAGACCGGCAGAACCCTTGAGGAAATGGTCCTCCGTCACCCTTCAGGTCCGTCGTCAGTTTTCAGCCACACAGACAAGTCCGTAAGGGGAGCAGTCACACTAGGGCCGGACTAGGAGGAGGACTGGAAAGACAGGGAGGAAGTGGCATGAGGGAAGCCATGCTGTGGGGATGGCCATCATCTGTAAGCTGATCTACTCTGTAAACCTTCACCCAGTGCAAAATAAGATGCTTCTTTCCTTTTTGTTGTTGTTGTGAAGAGTTGGATGTTCAAAGCAGAGATGCCTTACTAGAGCAAGCTTTGGTTTGGGTTGGAGGAAGACATTAGGGACTGATTTGGGTTTAAGGTTTGAAGAATGATATGAGGGGCCCCCAGGACTCCAGAAAGCCTGAACCCCGTTGGGAATTTGAATATCTGAGAAGAATCAGATGTTTCCTCTTCTTTAAAGCATTGCATGTAGATAGTGGCTACTGGGTTGGCCAAGCAGCTATAACTTGATCATGCGAGGGGGAGCTGGGTTCTAGTAATGGCTCTCTCTCATTCACTGCCATCCAGTCAGTTCCGACTCAGGGCGACCCTAGAGGACAAGTGCCTCTGTGAGGATTAACTCTTTACAGGAGTAGAAAGTCCCATCTTTCCTTAAGGAGCAGCTGGTGATTTCCAACTGCTGACCTTGTGGATCGCAGCGCGGCCCATAACTACTACACCACCAGGGCTTCTTCTAGTAATGGCAGCAATGGTTTTCTGTATAAACATGCTGGAGACCCCCTCACCCCAATATGTCTGTACTCTCAGCTACATGGTCCCTTTGCAGATTGGCTCTCCCTCTCTATTTCCCCTTGCCATCCACTCATTGTGGCCTCCTGATCGAGGGAGGTGCTTTGATTGACAGCTCTACCAGGGCTGAACTCCTTTGGAAAGGATGGCATTACAAATAGGCTCGGCTGGTGCCATCTTGCTGCGATTCTCCCAGCTCCAAAGGAGAGTGCCCTGCTGGTTTCCAAGTATGGCAGCCAGATTGATGTCCCTCTACCCTACTGACACTGGCAAGTCCCCCAAGAGGAAGAGAAGTGTGTTCAACTGCAAGTATCAAAATTCATAAAAATTTCACTGCCATCAAATCAGCTCTGACAGAATAGACAGACTAGGATAGACTAGAACTGCCACTGCCAGTTTCCAAGGCTATAAATCTTTACAGGAGCAGGCAGCCTCATCTTTCTCCTGTAGAGTGGCTAGTGGGTTGGAACTGCTGACCTTGTGGTCAGCAGTTCAATGTGTAACCCATTCCAATGAACTCCTTGTCTTGTAACTCCTTCTTCATATAAGAGCCAGGAAATCATTAGTGCATTCTTGCTCCCTCTATGGCCTCTGTGAGGACTTTGGACAACATTAACTCTTTCCATAAGAGCCACAATCCATGTTCATGGAAGCAGCAGTCTAAAGACCCAATGATGTGTTGCACGGTAATTTTGCTGCGCAAAACGTGTTTACAGTGTCGAAGAGCAAAGATGTTCCTTCCAGGACTAAGGGGTCTTGGACCCAGGCCATACCATTTTCTATCACTTCATGTGCATATTCAAGTTAGACACAGAATAAGGAAGAGCCGAGGAGAATCTGCATGTATAGATGGTGCTGGCTAAGAATATTGACACTACCATGGATTGCCAAGAAAAGAACCAAATCTATCTTGGGAGAAGTACAGTGAGAATGTAATTTAGAAACAAGGATGGCAGCAGTATATCTCATTTAATTTGGACATCTTGTCAGACAAGACCAGTCCCTGGAGAAGGACATCATGCTTGGTAAAGTGGAGGGACGGTAAAAAGGGAGAAGACCCTCGATGGGAAGGGTGGACCCAGTGGCTAGAACAATGGGTTCAAGCATAAGAACAGTTGTGAGGATGGCGCAGGATCAGGCAGTGTTTGGACAACTAACAACAATGATAATAGCAATAGCAATAACAATAATAACTGCAACATCAACCTAGTAGCCACCCTGAGTTGAGGTGACATCTCCTTGGTGCCCAGATCTGTGCTGGTCAGAGCAAAGGCAATGAATGTGGGGCTAGGAAGGTTTCCACTTTATGTGAGCTTTGCCATCTTGTTTGGAGGGAAAACACCAGCGACCGTTGTAAGCTGGCTTACGTTGAGGGTGTGGCTGTGAGTTCAGACTGGGAACGCTTTAAAACCGGGAAAGGTGTGCATCAGGAATGTGTGCGCTCACCATACTTGTTCCATTTGGATGCTGAGCAAATTATCAGAGAAGCTGAATTAGGTGAAGAAGATGTGGCATCAGGATTGGAGGAAGGCTTATCAACAACCTTCAATATGCAGGGAGAATTGAAGCACTGGCTCATGAAAGTCGAGGATTGTAATCTTCAGTATAGATTACAGCTCAGTGTAAGGAAGACCCAAATCCTCACAACTGGACCAACAGGTAACATCATGATGAATGGAGAAAAGGCTGACATTGTCAAGGATGTTGTCTTGCTTGGATCCACAATCAATGCTCATGGAAGCAGCAGTCAAAAAATCAAAAGATATAATGCGGCACCAGACCTCTTGAGAGTATTGAAGAGCAAGGATGTTACTTTGAGGACTGAGGTGCACCTGACCCAAACCATGGTACTCTCCATTGCCTCCTATGCGTGTGAAAGTTGGACGTTGAATAAGGAAGACCAAAGAAGAATCGATCCTTTTGAATCGGGGTATTGGAGAAGAATCGATGCATTTGAACGGAAAAGGCCGTGGACAAACTGATCTGTGTTGAAGAAGTCAGACCAGAGGGCTCCTGAGAGGGAAGAATGGTGAGACTTCATCTTACATACTTTGGAGATCTTCCAGGAGAGACCAGTCTCTGGAGAAGGACATGGTGTTTGGTGGGGTGGAGGGGTGGCAGAAAGGAGCGCCCTTGATGAGAGGAGCTGGCCCACTGGCCGCACCACTGCACTCAGGCATGGAAACATGGTGAGGATGGAGCAGGCCCACGCAGTGCTTTGTTCTGTTGGACATACGTGTACCGGTGGCACATACTTTTGCAGCTAGAGAAGCCAGAGAAGCTCAGACTAGTATGTGTAGTGAGGCCAGGGACATGCCTGGGGGGGTATGTGTGGGGACGGGGGTCATGGGAAGGGCCGAGGGGTCATTCACAGGTCATCAAGGCAATCCTCGGTCAAGAATTTTATCTTACTTGGATCCACACTCACTGTCCATGAAAGGAACCCAAGGATATATTGCGGTGGGTGAATCTGCTGGCAAGACCTCTTTCAAGTGTTAAACAGCAAAGATGTCACTTGGAGGATGAAGACGGGCCTGCCCCACGCCATGGTTGCTTCATTCACCTCATGTGCATGTGAAAGGTGGACACTGAATAAGGAAGACCTTAGAAGAATGGATACATTTGAATTATTGTGTTGGCTAATCATACCGACTGTACCTTGCACTGCCAGAAGGACGAGACAAACCAGTGTGCCATCCAGAAGTACAGCCAGAATGCTCCTTAGAAGTCAGCATGGTGAGACTTTGTCTCACATACTTTGGACATGTTTTCAAGTGAGCTCAGTCCCTGAAGAAGGACACCATGCTTGGTGAAGTAGAGGGTCTCCAAAGAAGAAGAAGACCCTCCAGGAGATGGATTGACACAATGGCTACAACAATGGGCTCAAATACAGCAACCATGGTGAGGATGGTGCAGGACTGCGCAGTGTTTCATTGTGTTGCACATGGCACCATGATGAGTTGGAACCAAGCCGAAGACATGGGACATCAAGAGCAACAACCAGTGTGGGCATCCCTGGGTGGCAGGAACATTGACCAGAAGGCTAAAGGTTCAACCCTACTCAGAAGCCCCTTGCAAGAAAGCCCTGAGATCTGCTGCTGGGAAGTCATGACCTTTAAAGCTTGATGGAGCAGGTCTGCTTGGCATGATCACCATCAGCCAGCCACTGTTGTGGCTCTGAGGGATAGGATGTGTCTGTGTTAGGTGACCTCCCCGTGGGCACACAGCTGCCTCTCAGCAGGCTCAAATGCTCGGCTCCCTTCAGAGCCCCTGCAAAGCCCTGGGAGGGAAGAGTGAGCCTTCAGAAAAGCAGCACCAACTGACTCTCTGACTCCGGCACTCAAACCAACACCCCTCTGCCCCCAGGGAGACAGAGCAGAAGCCCCGCCACCCCCTGGCCTGCTGACCTCCCAACTGGAGGGGGTGGAAGCCCCTTGGACTCTCAGGGTCCCCCCCACCCCGATCTGAGCCCTCCCTCTAACCATCTGTAAGGATAAAAGAGAATGTCCCATTGATAAATATTTTATTAATATGTGATGATGGCAATAATTCCTCCCAAGCCTCCCCACTCCACCTCCAGCCTATAAATTACTTTCTTGACGCTTTGCCTTCTCTCCCCGAGAGAGTGGCCCGGATGATT